GGCTATGGGGAGTGGCGGGGGTTTTCAGGGGCTATGAGGAGTGGCATGGGATGTCAGGGGCGTGGTGGGTGGGTATGTGGAAGGGCTTGAGTAGGGGCTGCCACATGGCTGCCCTCCCACCCAGCCCCTGCAGTGCTAGCAGCAGCAGTCAGTATGGTTGTGGCTCTGCTGCAGGCACAGTGGGAAGTAATGTGGCGCTGTGAAACCCAGGCCATACATGCTGAACAGCCCCAGCCCTGCCTGCTAGTGCATGGCCTTGGATGGGCTGGGCTGGATCCATTCAGCATGTACAGAGCCTGGGTCACAAAGCACCACATTGCCACCTGCTGTACCTGCAGCAGAATCACAGCTCCATACCCCACTGGCCCAACCCAACTGATCCGGACCAGGCTGCACAGCTAGCATGCATTTGCATAGGAGCCATGCCTCCCAGAGCTGCCCGTCCCACTCCGGTGCAAAGCCGGAGCCACACCAGGCCGGGTCCCGCTGTGCACCTCCTCCTCGTAGGCGCCATGGGGGAAGCAGCACTGCCTCCGGAGGCAGGTCCTGGCGCAGTACGCAGGGATAGCATGCTGAGCCAAGCCAGGTCCTGCCAGCACTGGGGCAGCTTGCGCTGCCAGGCTGGGGTGGTTCCACGGTGGCAGGACTCAGCAGGGTGCACAGGAACTGTGTCATGCCGAGCCACATCCTGCCACCATAGAACCAGCTTGGCTTGGTGGTGCGAGCAGCCTCCATGCTGGCAGGGCCTGGCTCTGCAGGACACAGTCCCCACAAGTGGCAACTGCTCCCCCCCACTGGTGAGTGGTACCAGTCCTCAATGAGTGGCACAGGCAGTGCTGACTCTGAGCTGCTCAGGACCATGCTGCACCGTGGGGGGATTAGCAGCAGCAGGCTCTGAGCATCCCATTCCCACTGCTGCTGCAGGAGGTAACTTGTGGGCCCTGCATGGGAGGGCTGTGGCCCTGCAGGGTGCCTGGGATTCTGCAGGGGGGCTGTGGCCTCCAGGGTAGAGCTGGCACCCTGCAGGGGGGGCAATCCATGTGCTGTGTGGTGGGGCTGCACCCTGTGAGGGCCAGGGAACACACCCCTCCTGAGCAGCCCCCTTACAAGTTCCCCCCACAATCACCCCACACCTAGCCACACACATTCCCCAATATCCTTCCATACCCACCCACACGCCTTCCTCAACACCCCTTCTCACCTTCCTCCTACAAACTCCACATTCCCCCATCACATGAGAAGAAAGCCAAAAGCACACCAACACATAGATGTTTAGAATTAATTTTATTATAAGAGATACTGGTAGACTTCCAAATTGCTTTAACATTGTAAATATATCCATAAAGCATTACCCAGCTGATCTCTCTCTCTCTATATCCAAGTGGTCTTTTGTTCTAAAAAAAGAACGTGAATTTTGGGAGTATTTAAATAAATGGATTTGGGATGCTGCTGTAGCAGTCCAGCTGACACAAGGGGCTAGTGTCCCCAAATACCAATTGGCCAGGCCCTAGAAGCTCCTGAGAAGGAGTAGGTCTGAGCTGCTTGCTAGGGCAAGTTTTTATATTGCTGAGGCCAGCAAAGGGCAGCTTTTTACACTGCTGGGGCCAGGACAGGTGCTGGCCCCAGGCTCTAGCTCCCCCTGGCTGCAGATTGAGGAGGAGCCAGGCAGGGTTATTTTGCCTTAAGTGCCACAATTTGCCTCACACCAGAGTACATGTCTGGGCACATGAACGACACATCTGGGGGGGCACAGCTGGGCTGGCAGCAGGGGGAGTGCAGCGACAGTAAGTGTCAGTGGTGCTGCCAGTGGTGGGGTGATGAGCAGCACCTTTTTGTAGGGGGTGCACACACACCTGCGTACACCCTCCATGTGTCCCCCCTGTCTGGGCACATGCACAGAGGCAAAAAGCCCCAGCTCAAATTTGCACCACTTCTATTTGAGCTGCTGCAAGCGCTCAAATGCCTGCATGTGTGGACATGCCCACTGATGTATTTTTCATAGATTTAATAGATTTCATAGACATTTGGGCAGGAAGGGATCCTGGAGGATCAGAGTCCAGGCCCCTGCCCCAGGGGCAGGAAGTCAGCAGGTATCATAAGATCCCAGCAAGATAAGCATCCAAATGCATCTTGAAGGCATTCGAAGTGGGTGCTTGAACTGCCTCCGGTGGTAGTCTATTCTAAACCTTGTGGGCTCAGACAGTAAAGAAGTTCTTTCTTATGTCCACCCTGAATTGATCATGGCAGAGTTTGTGATCGTTCAGTCTTGTCATCCCTTTTGACAATTAAGGATGAAAATAGCTCCCCCTTTGACTGCTGGTTTGGTTACTGTTTCATTGTTGGATCTTAGAAGCTGCATGGCTTTTGTCTCTGAGATATAGAGACTGTGGTGGTCCTGGCTTTTGTTGAGAATTTCAGTGTTAGCTTTCTGAGGAAGCAGGAGCAAGAATGGAGCAGCAGCAAGACAGTTCAGTTTGGCCACCAGCCACACAAGTGTGAACAACAGCAATGACTCTTCTGCCCCTTCCCTGAAACATGGGAAGAATGTAGTGTGTAACAGGGAGAAAAGGACCTCTCCCAGGCTTAGGAGAGAGCATAAAAACCCCAAGTGTTGTAAGAGGAGCAGTAGGAAAGCATGGGGGGAGCAGAACTGATGCAGGTGTAGGAGGGCAGATCAAGCATTTTGCAGGCCTGAACTGATAAAGTTGCACATTAACCAGTTTAAGTGATCAGAAACTAGTTTAAACCTGTAATAGAACAGAAGTTCAGTTCATAGAAACTGCTTTCAAAGTGACCAGAACTGGTTTAAGATAAGTCTGATACTATATCCATCCAGATTTAACTTGAATCAGGAGGGGATCTGGGACAGAAATTCCATAAACTGGTTTGACATAAGTCAGTTAAGTCAGTCGTCCAGCATCCCAGGATGCTTTGCAGCCCTGGGCTGCAAGGCTGGATTAACCTTTCAGTGGGCCCGAGGCAAACAAATGTGTGGGCCTTGGGCCAGGTGAGACCCCCCAATCCCTACTCTGGTGCTGCCACCCATGGGGAGTGGGGCTCAGAGCTGCCACTTGGAAGCAGCCACCACAGCAGCAAGGCCAGGAGAGAGGAAGGGAAGGGAAGTGGACAGGGCAATTCATTCTGCCTGGGCTCTGCCCCCACAACTCAGGGACTTAGGCAAGTGCTTAGTTTGCCTACATGTTAATCTGGCCCTACTGTGCTGCGCTGCCTGCTCTGGCAAAGTAGGGCTGGCCCTGCTCCCTTGCTTTAACAGAGCTGGGGCAGTAAAGCCTCTCTGCTCCCTAGCTTCTGCCTGTGCCTGGCAGCCTGGAACAGGGCCAAGCCCTGAAGGACCATTTGAGGGGTGGGAGAGAGGAATCCTGTCTCTGCACCAGGGCTGGGGAAGCGCTACTGAGGTTCAGGGATCCAGCTAGAGGGACTGTTCCCCCCCCATGGGGGGGACAGCAACGGATTGTGGGGGGGGGGGCGGCGGGTGCTGGGCAGCCAATCAAGGATGAGCCCTGCTTACCTGCATTCAGGTATCCTTGGCAGTGGCCAGCAGGCTGGGGGTGTGCTGTGACTGTCTCTAATTAGCCTAGAGGGTCAAGGAAGTGCAGGTGAAAGACATTCTGCACCTTCTTAAAAAGAAGAATAAGAAAAAAAAACAC